CCCTGAAAAATAAAAACTAACCATTGATCGAGAACCTTGGAAGGATCTGATCAGAGCTTTCAGATTTCGGATCGTCGATCTCCATTGCGGACACCTCGCTCTCCTTCTTCCCCATTAATCCACACAATTCTAGTTAAAACCCCGCTGAAGAAACACACCAAAAGAAAAAAACACCACCACGCGATATATAAATTGAGGGCTTCATAACAAAACAAATCGTAAAAAAAAAAAAAATCAGCTCAAGTAATTCATACTTTTGATCTGATGAGATGATTTCACGGTTGTGACAATGGAAAATTCCGATGTGGGCGACGGCGAGCAGCGGAGGCGTGCGAATTTCAGTTTTCGATTGAATCTCAAGCAAGCAGTGGTTAAAAGAGAGGACGAGACTAGTAACGAAACGGGTTCGAGGTTTTGGGGTTTTGGTAAACAAGTCCAGATTTAATCCGAGTATATGTGGGCCTTAGGCCCAGTCCTAATCGTCCTCTCGGCCAATTAATCCCTCAAATATTATCTACAAAGCAACGAATTTAATTTGGGATACTTAAAATTTTTTTGGAAAGAAGAAGTATTAAAAAAAGTTACAACATTGCATAAAACATCTTAAAGCTACACATATCCATTAGACTTCAGATTAGTTATTTCATACCAAAAAAAAAAAAAAACTACACATATCACTTGAAATACCAAAAGGCAAAAACTAGTTTTATTAGCTGTATTATTTTCAACAAATATAGATAAAGTGGTTGGTAAACCTTGTAGATTTGACGTTTTAGTTTATAAAGTCAGCTTTAATTAAAACCATAATATTTGTTATCAAATATTATAAAAAGTCAAAATAAAAAACAATAGTTAAGGGTATTGGATTTTGGTACCATAAAGTAAATACTGAATGTAGTTAGGGTTAATATAAACCTTTTAGATACATGTACAGAACTACAGACCAGTAAATTGTTGACAGAAATTAGGAAAATAACAGGGAATAATAATTTTATTTTTCCATCAGTAGATAATAAATAAATAGACCGACGGAAATCTTGTAGAGATAACGGGATCTGGAGAAGAGACCGCGTGGACCATATTAACAACCAAATAATTCAAAAATGATTATAATAGAGTACTATTTTGTTTAATTATCCAAATGATATCTAAAAAGGTTTATTATATGACGTTCCATAATTCCATTGGTTATTGCTTCTGTCTTGCTTTTCTGTCCAATCGTCTTCTTCAAGATTTAGCACGTGAAGAAGTCTATCTTATACTACTATTTATTTCATGGTATTATTAGTTTAAATCAAATATTATAGAGTTTCCACTGCAGCGAAATTTCAGATATAGTTCCAACTCTCAGAAACCAAAATTTTGTGTGTTTAAATTTGTCTGTAATTCTAAAAAAAGTTAGTGTGTATTGATACAACTTACAACAGACAATATAGAAACCTATTTTGATAGACAAAGCATCTAGCATTACATGTGCTTATAATAAGAATTAAGATATTTAACATAGTAGTAGTATTTCACAAAATAAATTATTCGCCTACCAATGATCTCATTCTCAAGTTTTGAATATCTCTAGATGTTAACTTAAGTATCGTATAAATAAATAATTAAAGATCCATACTGTTTCAAACTTCCAAGGATGTAGGCATGTGAGACTAGCGTGACACTACTAATTCTATAACAAAAGCTTTTTTATTAAATGCTAATTATACAATCGAATCTCGCTTGCTGATTAGCAAAACTGGAAGACGGTTCAACACCGGTTAGGTTCGGTTAGATACGGTTAACATCTTCTGTATTGTGAGTGTTGCACACGTAATTTGGATGAATCCAACGGGTGGGTGCACAGAGATTTTAGATGGATGAGTGAGTAGATGATCACACCCCATCCTGGGATTTGCTGGTCAGCTTTTGATGTGTAAACTAATGGAGAGTTGACACGTGGATACGTTGAGAAGAGCATCTTTTAAGAATAAATGCTTTTCTAATCCTTCACGCAGCGACCAGCATTTAAAATAACGGACAGTGACCCTCTCTCTCACGCCACTTGCTCGCTCGGCTTGTTTTTGTCAGCTTGGCTTGGCCGGCTAATACCAGAATATAATAAATTTTCTCTACTCTGTTCTTGAGATTTTTCTAACTCAACATATTTTAAGAAATATTGGGCCTGATTGGTTCCGGCTGTAGCTGTAGATTTTTTGTATGCTTTAGAAAAAAAGGCTTACAGCCAACAAAATTAATTATAGAAATATTTTGGCTGTGAGAAAAAAAAGGAAAGCTAAAGCTTCTAAAGCTTGATTGGATCTATTTCAATGCTTTAGAAATTTTTTTTGCTTTGTAAAGACTCTAAAGCACTTGCCAATCAGGCCCAATTATTGGGCCGCTTGTATTTTATTTTGTTTGTTTCCAATTTTAGATTTATATTTATTTTTCCGTTTTGGATTGGACTTAAGCCTCTGGTAAGTACTTACGTTCTAACTTGCAAGTTCTTTTATTATTCAGTAAGCAAGCATAATCGAACTAAAAGATATAAATTCTTAGTTAATTGAAAATCTTTGATTGGAGACCACACAATCTATTGAACGGAAATTAAAGTTAAAGTAAAGTAATTTTTTCTAACCAAATATCAAATTTGAGATACAATGTTTCAATTTTTCAAAAAGACTATGATCTACTCAGCACTTGCTTGATATTGCAAAAACAAATTTAAGCTAGAATTATGAATGTTGTTACTAGTTGAAGTGATTTGATATTGTTAAATGTTGGTTTATGTAAAATTTTGTTTTATAATATTTATATTTGAATTTAATTTTGATCCTATTTGAGAATTTTCGTAAATTTTGCCTTTGTTTAATCGACTCGAATCGATCTAAAAAATTCCTTATTTAATATTTTAAAATCGTATTAAAATGATTTGAATCGCTCTGATGAAAACTTTTATCGCAAAGAATAAGATTCGTGAACGGGAAAACAAAAATTATTCTCTTTCTTTTTATCATCAAAGATATATAATAGGAACGAAGAAGATAATTACAACACCGAAGACAAAAAAAATTAAAGTTTCGTAACTACGCCGACGGATAACCTAAAGTTTCAAAAGATTAAAAAGACATCGGAAACCTAAAAGAACAAAATAAGCAAAAATTACATCATATGAGAAATGACAAATACATCTATATTGCAAAGCATGAAATACTCATAGAGAACCTGAGATAGCTAATTACCTAGGAAGTTGTGAAAACAAACCAACGATGACGGATACCTTCTATAGTGAACCCAAACTACCACAAAAAAAAAATAGACCAAGGCTTCATAATCCTAACTATCAAACAAAAAATACTTTTCTATATACAGTATCTCATATTTTCAAAATGGTTTTTGTTTCAACCAAGAAAAAGGGTATTAAAAAAATTGAAATGTCTGACGGAGATCCCAACACAAAACACTTGATGACTCTTTAAGCTAAACATTTATATATACAGTGGAATACATAGTATATAGTAACATTTATTATGAATCACATAAACTGATTCATAGATAAATACATTCATAAACTAATTCAAATTATTTCTAAATAAATTCACATACGAGATATCGTAAACGACACTCACCTTCAGCCACATTTCACGGCCGATTGGCTACGTGACTGCATTTCCATTTATTTCTTTTTTTTTTTACTCCTATTTTGCAATTTAACGTGAGACAAAAAAAAGATAAATACATGCACTAATGTTGGATAACTATTTTTTTTAGTTGTCTTCAATATTTATACCATCCTCTTTATTTTAGATTATCTTTTGATATTTCCATTTGGTAGTTCGAAGCTAGTCATGCTAAACTGCTAAATATGATATTATGGAGAGTCAGAGAGATCTAAGTATCTAACCATCAAACCAATTAAGTTCACTTGAAGTCTTCACTCCATGCTGATTATTATTAATTATCTTTGTTATACCATTCATTAGAATTTATGAATTATACTACAAACTTGTAAGAATATTAAAGCGAGACTTGACTTGAGAGGTAGGGAAAACAACAAAGCAAAAGGAAAACAAAACAAGAATGATAAAGACAGTGAATATACAAGTAAAAGAAATAATTCAAGCTCGTCAAAATTAATGAAAAGAACTAATGAACAAAAATAGCGTTTTAAGATATAATCTTGAACCAACCAACCAAACATTATCAACAAAGATTGCTCAATTGTCAGATGAAGATTTTTTTTTTTTTTTTTTTAAAGATTTATTTCTAGGTAGTTTATTTAGCTACATAAGATATTATATCTCAAACAATTAGAAATATAATACGATTTATTTTTAGGTTTTAATAATACAATCAAGACAATCACATTTTCAAATTTTCTTTTTGCAAAAACTAAGGGGGTGTTATTCATTCATGGAGTTAAAGTCAATTCTTAAAGGTTTAGATTTGATTTCTGATATTGTTTTTAACAATCTGTTTGTGTGGAGTTCAAAATCTCTGCAGTATATCTTGGATTATGATTCTAATAATTTACTCATGAAATCCAAAGATGTTTCATTTCAAATGATTTGATATACAAAGATTTTACAAGTCTTTTAGATTTGAATAACACTGGATTTTAATGAAGCATTTTAAATCTTAGTTGAATAACACCAAACTTTAAAATCTATTAGAGTTAGATTTAGAATCATTAGGTTAATAACACTGAATTAGTGTTGGATTTCAATTCTATTAAAATCCATCATTGAATAACACCACCTAAACATCTTTCTTAAATTCTAATTAATATCGGATTTATGTACTTGTTGGCATTTAAAATCATGTACGAGACTAAAAACATAAGCAAAAGTGTTTCAACTAAAAATGTCAATTATGTGCTCACCAAAAAAAAAATGTCAATTATATCAATAACATTAAAACAACCTTTTTCATACTTTTTTTCTTCCATGATACTAAGGTTTGAAATTCCTAACTTAATTTGTACATATAAAGTTTTGTAGATAAAGCGAATGAGTCACATGTTTAAAAAGAAAACCAAAATGATCCAACTTTTAATAGCCGGCTCCTTTGGTTTTATTACTTAGCCGGGGCTCGATGACTTGCCGTCGAGACTCTCGTGTGAGTCCGTAATTATTTATTCTTTAATTAAAAAATAATAAACAATCGAGTTCATAATCGAACGATCCAGATTCAACCTCATACAATTACCACTAGATCCATGGTACATGACAACGTAGCAGAGTCCTTCTCTCCTTCTTTTCCCTCTTTTGTTTTTTCCTCTCCCTCTCATTTTTTTTTCTAAACCAACTAACCGCAAAAACCAAAAAAACCCCAAAAAAAAAAAAAAACTCTCTCTCTCTCTCTCTCTCCTCTCCGTTTCTCTCTCTGTCGGAGAGAGTGCCGGAATCGCGCGTCGGCGGTAATAGCATCGCCGGAAAAGCTTAAAAATCATCGCCGGTCGCACGAATTATTCGTTGGAAACAACGCGTCGTGAGAGGAGGGGAAATTCGAAAAACCAAAACAAAAAAATTGAAAACACCGATTCACTTTTTTTTATATATAATATATAATTTTCTTTTTCGGAATTAAATATTCTGTGATGGATGCGATTGGATAGAAGGAAACAAAAAGGAAAGGAGGAAGATAAAAGAGAGCAGACGAATTATTCTCTTCTCTTCTCTCTCTCTCTTTCATCTCTGTCTACATCGCTGTGTTTTTTCTTCAAGGATCGTAATACCTGAAGAAGAAGAAGGTAATTATAATAAGGTTTACGAGATCCACTGTTTGTTGAAATTCTGGTTTGAATTTGAAGCATAATTGTGTTTGTTTGTGATTAGGTAAGTTTTTTTTTTTGGTAGCTGGTGATTAGGGTTTTTTTTTTGTTTGGTTTATTAAATTGGAAATGGTTTAATTCCGTGCCGAATTTGTGAATTAGGTAAGAGTTGGTTCGCTGTTTGATTATAATGAGCTGCACAAGGATCCGGTATTTGGCGAATTCTAGTCTTATTGCTTCTGGATATACCTAATCGTCTCTTCCATATATTTCTATGAGTGCCTCTAGTGGTTGAAGTTGCTAACTTTGTTTTATACTTGGGTTTGGCGTAATTCTAGTAGAAATCTTCTGTTTCTATATTGATCTTTTGGCTTTTACGTGAGTAATTGAGCCTTTCTATTTGTCATTCGTGCAAGATCTTCCTCGCAATTGACAAGTGCATTTTGTTTCTGTAGAAACTGGCTTTGAATTTCATCACTCTTTTGTTCATTTTTTCAGGGGAAGTGATATGGTTCGTTGAAATAATATTAGAAGTTTTTGATTCTGGTTTTTTTAGTCAAATTTTGTTGTTGTCATCTGCACGATGCCGTCTGATATTATGGAACAGAGAGGTGTTTCAACACCTTCCCACTTTCATGAAGATATTCATATTACTTCAGAGGTAACTCTTTTTTTTTATTCTCACTTGTTTCAGGATTTAAACTGTGTAGCTCTAGAATTGCTTGTACCGTATATGACATTATCTGCCACTACTTTCTGTGATGTCTAGAACTGTTTTTCTCAACTATACTTGTTTTTTTGTTTGGCAGAGGCAATTTGGGTTTATGAAAACAGACCTGATGCCTGAAAACCAAGGTGGTCGTGATAGACTTTCAAGTATGCCAAAGAGTTCCTGGACACCTGACAGTTACCAGCTGAAGCCACAATCTAGTTTTTCTGGGTCACACCCCTCTGTTAGCCCTAACGCAAGAAACGCTACAAATGGTAGTCAGTGGGAAAGCAGTTTATTTTCCAGCTCAATGTCTGATTTGTTTAGTAGAAAACGTAAGCTTCTGGTTTACCTTTATGATTTTTATTTATTGTGTTAGATTTTTTAATCAGCTTCCCAAATCTACAATCGTCTATGTTAAACAAACATCGTTACTTGTGTGCTCTGACTTACTGTACTTTAACTACTTGAGTGTGTCTCCAACTTGCTGTTTTTGGCAGTGCGGCTACAAGGAAGTGATATGCTATCCACTATGTCCGCAAACACAGTTGTTACCCACCGTGAAGAAGAACCGTCTGAATCTTTAGAAGAGATTGAGGCACAAACTATTGGAAATCTTCTCCCAGATGAAGATGATCTTTTTGCGGAAGTGACGGGTGAGGTTGGGCGTAAATCTCGTGCTAATACTGGAGATGATTTGGATGAGTTTGACCTCTTCAGCAGTGTTGGTGGCATGGAACTAGATGGAGATGTTTTTTCTTCTGTGAGTCATAGAAATGGTGAGAGAGGTGGCAATAATTCTGTTGGCGAACTTCATCGTGGGGAAATTCCATCCAGAACACTTTTGGTCGGAAATATCAGTAGCAATATCGAAGACTATGAGCTGAGGGTTCTTTTTGAGGTACCTTCTTTCAGCAGTGTTTTTGGTTCCCACGGATTCTTTACTTAGGAAATATATGCTATGTAGAAATTTTGGGATTTCTTACTTCGTACTGAGGATACATTTACTTGTTCAGCAATTTGGAGAAATCCAGGCTCTTCATACAGCTTGCAAAAATCGTGGCTTTATCATGGTGTCGTACTATGATATAAGGGCTGCTCAGAATGCGGCGAGAGCACTCCAGAATAAGCTGTTAAGAGGAACAAAACTTGACATTCGTTATTCTATCTCTAAGGTGTTATTCACTGTTCTGAAAGAAGATATTGTCTTTTGCTATATGGATTGCACTTGTGACTTGTGTTGATTTGTGCTTACAATTTTTCTTGCTATCAGGAAAATCCTTTAGAAAAAGATACATGTAAAGGAGCCTTGTTGGTTAATAATCTCGATTCTTCTATTTCGAATCAAGAGCTCAATCGCCTGGTCAAATCATATGGAGAGATCAAAGAGGTTGGTATACTGGGGTTCTCCCTGTATTTAAGTTTTTAGATTGATACTTATTATGTTTCTGTGGTTTGTAGATCCGTAGAACCATGCATGATAACCCACAGATATACATAGAGTTCTTTGACGTTCGAGCTGCAGCAGCTGCTCTTGGTGGACTAAATGGACTTGAGGTTGCCGGGAAGAAGCTTCAACTTGTGCCGACCTGTCCAGAGGGTACAAGGTAGTGATTGGGCTTTTTCCCCTGCTTTATATTCCATTGGGCTGTGAACTGATGCAAATGCTAATCAGATTTGAACATGTGATTTGTTGTCAAGTCTTTACGTGGACGTCAACTGTATTAATGTACCATTCATTATTTTTTGCAGATACACATCACAGTGTGCTGCACATGATACTGAAGGGTGTCTACCTAAAACGTCTTATAGTAATACATCATCGGGACACATAGGTATGCCTTCTGCATTTATGGTTTATAATTCTTTTTTCTTCAATCATTTGTCATCTTGGGACACAAAGCATTGCAGTTAAATATCTCTGTTTCAGGTAGACATTTCCCAGGAATGATGTCTTCAACCTCCAATGATGGTGGATCTATGCGGGTTATACATAATTCTGTCGGATCTCCTGTGAATTCCTTCATTGAACGGCATCGGAGTCTCAGCATTCCTATTGGATTCCCACCCTCAGCAAACGCCATCTCAGCCAGCAAGCCTGTAGGACTTCAGGAGCATGGCCACCATTTTGATAATTCAAATATGGGGATCCAAAGCATGCCAAATCTCCATCCTCATTCTTTTTCAGATTACGTGGACAACTTTGCAAATGGTAGTCCATATAAGTCCTCTGCATTTTCTGAAATGGTCAATGATGGCTCAAAAGCAAATGAAAGCTTTATGATACATAATGTACGTGGAGTGGATGGCTTTAGTGGAGGGGGTAAGTTCTCTATATTTAATGTGATACACTGATACTGTCTTGATAAGCTCTGCTGTAGTACATTATTAGATCACAATCTTTAAGTTAAGACATTAAAATGGTCCTTACAGTTTTAGTAGACTGTGAAATGCTACAGCAATGCAACATTAGGTACTTTTGTCTGAATACACAACTTGTTTACAACTGTTTTATTTCTTGGTGTAAATCTTGCCATTCTGAGGAAAATTGTATTAGCATTATGTTCTTAATGTCAGTTATCTAAACAGATTAGGCGGTGTTGTACCGGGGTTTGAACAAGAGAAGGGGCTGAACCTAATTGTGTATATCAACATTGCTAATAAAATTTGATATGGAAGATTGTGATGAAGTTTTTCTTTCAACTGCAGCCATATGAAATATTCTCTTTCCTCACTTTTCGCTGTTGTTATCTTTTGACTGTAGGTATAGGATCTCCCATGCATCAAAGCTCCCGCCGCCCTAACCTTAATTTATGGAGCAACTCTAACACTCAGCAACAGAATCCGTCAAATGGCATGATGTGGCCTAACTCGCCATCTCACATCAACAGCATTCCTACTCAGCGCCCACCTGTTACTGTATTCTCTAGAGCACCTCCTATAATGGTGAATATGGCATCTTCCCCTGTGCACCACCACATTGGATCTGCGCCGGTATTAAACTCGCCTTTCTGGGACAGAAGACAAGCCTATGTAGCTGAATCTCTAGAATCATCTGGCTTCCACATAGGTTCTCATGGTAGCATGGGGCTTCCTGGCTCTTCACCCTCACATCCAATGGACATTGGTTCTCATAAGACTTTCTCTGTTGGTGGGAATCGTATGGATGTAACTTCCCAAAATGCTGTACTGCGATCTCCTCAGCAGTTGTCTCATCTCTTTCCTGGAAGGAGTCCAATGGGTTCGATGCCAGGGTCGTTTGACTCGCCAAATGAAAGATACAGGAATCTCTCTCACCGTAGAAGCGAATCTAGCTCTAGCAATGCTGACAAGAAACTGTATGAGCTTGACGTTGACCGTATATTACGTGGGGATGACAGGAGGACAACTTTGATGATTAAAAACATTCCTAACAAGTAAGTGAACTCAGTGTCTCTCTTTTATTCCTTGTTTATATCTTCTGCAACTATTTTTAGATTGTGTCTTTAGTTAAAATGTATTCTGTTTTCATCTTTGACTCTCTTTTTTTAAATCCTGCTATGGTTTAGGTACACTTCTAAGATGCTTCTATCTGCTATTGACGAGCACTGTAAAGGAACTTATGATTTCCTTTATTTGCCAATTGACTTCAAGGCAAGCAGGCTCCTACCTTTTTATATAAGAAAGTCTTATTAAGTAGACACGTAGAGCTTTTGGTGTTTTGCATTATCGATCTAATCTAATCTTACCCTCTCATTTCAGAACAAATGCAATGTGGGATATGCTTTCATCAATCTTATTGAACCTGAAAAGATTGTCCCATTTTTTAAGGTACAGTCTTGTATTGCTGCTTTTTCCTATTGCTTTTGGCCTTTTGGAGAACACTGGTTAAAAAACTCTAAAAAAACCTTCACAGGCATTTAATGGCAAAAAGTGGGAAAAGTTCAATAGCGAGAAGGTGGCAACGCTTACGTATGCTCGTATCCAAGGGAAAACAGCTCTTATTGCCCATTTCCAGAATTCAAGCTTAATGAACGAAGACAAACGTTGCAGACCTATTCTCTTCCACACTGACGGTCCAAATGCTGGTGATCAGGTAAACATTAAAGCTTCATACAATTTCGTCTTGTTTGGTTCTCATTATCTCTTTTTTTTATCCATATCACACTTCCTTCACTTCAAGTGTGATTTCATTATATCATAAGATCTGGTGATGCTCAGTTGTAGATAGAGAGGGTCGTAGTTAGTGAATAAAAGAAGATTTATGTGATATCCTTTGTTGTTATATCACTACAGGAACCATTTCCAATGGGAAGCAACATACGATCAAGACCAGGAAAGCCACGAAGCAGTAGCATTGATAACTACAACAGCTTTAGCATCTCTTCCGTTTCTGAAAACCGAGAAGAACCTCCTAATGGAACTGATCCGTTCTTGAAGGAGAACTAACCAATGAGCAAAACAAAACAAAAAGGAGACCTGAAGATAACAAGAAGGTTAAATATATATATAAAAATTATTATTATTATATGATATCATCCACACACCCTAGAGTTCTGTAAATCGGGGGTGTTAGATTTACCCTGACAAAACTCATTTTGCAGTGAAGAATTTTTTTGGAGAGATGAAAAACTTTGTTGACGACAAACCTTTTACCCAGGTTGTTGTTGCTTCACCAGTTTTGTTGTATTATCAAAATCCCCTGAGAAATATTGCAGGTTTTTTTTCTTTTTTTTTTTGGGTTTTTGGGTTTACATTCAAGGATTTTTGGTTCTTGCTATCAATGTATAACAGCCTTGGATTACACTCATCTTCTCTGCTGGCTATTTGTGGCCATTCCATGTTGTATGCTTCTTTTCTTTTGGATATATAAAATATTATTTTTTCCTCTAATTTTTATCTGAAGCTGTTGAATTCTACGAATGGCACTGACCAATATCATTTCATGGGTTTCATTGAGTATATCTTACAAAAGTACATAGTACATGGTTACCAGTGATTTCCACTAGACAGAGTTTGGTACATATGATACGACATGAAGAAACCTATATTTAATACTGAAGTTTCTTAACTAAATTTTTATTCAAAGCTCTGTTATATCGTTTGGTGCTGTAAGAGGAAGTTCATACGAGATACAAGAGCCAAAAATCATCAGATGCGAGAGATTTGGCAGCCCCAAGACGACTTCTTCTCTAGAGACATCATCAACAACAAGAATAAGAACAACTCTAAAATAATCCATGTCGATATTTAGGAGAGATGATGGAGAGACAAGACAAGTTAAGAAAGAGAAAAACAAAAGTGACTTTCTGTAGCAAATTTTGTTTTGTTTTGTTTTTGTTTGCATTGAGCTGCACCTATATATGTAAAAAGCTCCCGATTTGCTTCTTGTGTACATGAAAAGGATTCTCTGTAGATAACCCTCCCTGAGAGATCACAACTTCTGATTTGGAACATGTCACTATTTTTACATCAATGCTGGATTTCTCCACATTTTGATACAATACTGTCACTTGTTAGGTCATCAATCGGACAGCTTCATAAATCAGAATCTCTGGCCGAACCTTCCTTTCTCCACAGAATCTGACCACACTCTTCCAGTTACCAACATCCTATGCCATCACACATCACAACACATATAAATCATTCTGGCCTATCTAAGTGTACTATTTTCAACTCATGGAAGGAAAAATCAGCTGTTTCTTCTTACCTCTCCTGCTAAACACTCACGTCTGAGATTGACCCACCGATTCTTTTCATAAGCTAAGCATATGTGTTCTTCCTCTCCTTCACCACAACCAACCTGCGTCACATCCCAGATATTCTGACATTGTAACAAAGAAATACAGAAGAACAATAGCACAAACATATATGACCCTGTTTCAGATTTTTTACCATTGACACAAGCCGGTAGTTAGTGTTTGGTTCTACGCCTCCTTCGTACAGCCTGCTGATATCTATCTCCCAGTCCAAAGCCTTTGTTGTTTCTGATATTTGTTTCTCAGTTTCACTCTTCTCCCATTCCAACACTGATATTGCAAACCCGAAAAATACCAACATTACTTTATGATTAAGCATAAATATGAAATTGAGTACAAAAGATAACAATCATGGGGGTCAAAACTTACCAATGGTGAAGATAGGCGGGCACCTACGTATAATGTGATGAACATAGCTTTTCTTACCACAACCTCCTATTTTATTGTCACATAACATTTTATATCCCATGCGGATCAACTTAAGGATATCCACAAACTTTATATTCCCAAAAGCACACTGCATATATTCAAGCACAGAACAACTTTATCAGGGGAAGTACCTGCAGTTTCTGTAGGAAAGAAAAAGAGGATAATAAATGAAACATACCTTCAGTTCTCTGATTGAATCTGCAGCCATTACAATGCCATAACAATTTTGCACTGGAAAATTTGTAATCCTTCTGCATTTTCTACAACTCATTCTTTTATTATCCGCCAATGTAAACAGGCGAGTTACCAAGCTTTCTCTTTCTGGATTTTTCCAGCAACGCCAAAAATTAAGGACGGCTACAACTACCTTAGCAGCATCACTCGACTGCAAAGAGTAAAAAATAGAATGACAATTAAGCTTATTGACAAAAACATTTAATAATATAATGCTTAGAAGCATATCTTCTCCACACGAACCATGGAAAGAAATTCTTCTTGGGAAGTCAGTAAGTCGCTCAGGAGGCAACTGTAGACTCCTTCATTTCGTATCACTTCTGAAACAAAAGCATCAAATAAATTTTGTAGTGCAGAAGGAACTTGTTCTTCCCCGTGGTCTTGAAATGGTAGCCTATTCTTCATCAAATCTTCTTTGAAAATCTTAATATTCAAGAGGGCCTGCGATACAACATGTTTTTCTGAGTTTATCAAAGAGAATGAGGAAGTAAAGAGATATGGAATGAACTAATCAAAAGACAAGAGTTTAGGTATTGAATCTTGTTTTGGTTGGTAACTGTTTCACCTTCAGCGTCATGTCGAGAGCTGAATTGTATCTGGTTGTAACTTCTCCAGCAGCTGGCTCCAAATGTTCTGACAGTGAATCTTCTCTATGCATATCTTGAAAATGGTCAATGAATGAAATAAGAATTATGCATCTCACAAGAAAATAATTCAAACTATTGCTCAAATTGAGAAGCTTTTAACAACCAGGCTCATCTTCAGTAGCTTCCTCTTGAATTTCAGTTCTGGATGAAATTTCCAATCTACCCGTCTCACTTGCAAGAGCATCTTCTGGTTCCATAGAATCTTCTTCAACCGTTCTTAGTGATGGAGATGTACTCTCCGGTTCAAGGCTGATAGAAGGTTTTGGTCAGAGAAAACCCGAAAACAATTTATGACATACAAAAATGACCATTGAGGCACTTACTGTTCAACAGTCTTATCAAGGGGACTAGGATTGCTCGTTGAAGTTTTCTGTTGCGCCAAGAAGATCAATCAATCTTACAAGTATTATATACACAAACCCATGGAATCCTACAAGTAAGGAAACGATATCTACATAGAAGATATGATATCCCTATAAGATAGGAAGACGTTATTGACTTGTTCAGAGAACCTAAACCGGTATTACTTATAGTTTAACCGATATATCTTATATAAGTATTTGCAGAGAAGCAAATAGAGAATTTAGAACTTCAAAGACCTTTTTGCTTTTATCTCTCTTCTTCTTTGATGGTGGCTTCTCCTTTGATTGTGGCTTCTCCTTTGATTGTTGCTTCTCCTTCTCCAACTCGTTTAAAAGATTTGCTTCTGCTGCATCTGACTTGGCTTTGGATTCCATATTCACAATTTCATTCTAGATGAGATGAGACAAAATAACATATAAGAAACAATTCAAACGCAAAACTAGACGGATAATGAAATCTCTCTGTATATAAGAGTTTCAAACCAACCAGCAAGAAAGGTTTCAGCACATGAAGGATATAAGTGCGGTTGTCAAAAGCAGAAAGCCTTGTGAGGTTGTTTAGCAAACTTATCCTTGAATTATCAATCAGCAAGATCTTTGTATCAATTAAAAGAACCTGCAAGTCATGCAGATACTTTTAGATGGACAATTTCATGTTATTCTGTTGTTAATGAATATTAAAGTCATGGATGAACCTTTTGGGTGACCACTGATCTCAGAAGGTCTATGGCCTGCAACACTTTATCGTCACTGAGACTTTTGTGTTCACGTATAAGATTCAAGCAATCTTCTAAATCGGGGAAATCAAATGTTGGATGCAATGCTCCTTCGAAAACATCTCGTACTGCACACACGAACAATTTTGTAGTAAGGGAATTTTCGGGGACTCTCTCTTCACACATATCACATAGAAGAGATGCATATCTGCTCCATTGATCTTCCGGCAGATTCCTTCTCCTTTCATCTTCACTCACACACATGTTCTCGACAACAGTAAGAGCTGCAGCATAGTCCAAGAGCTGGACTTTCTTTGCATATTTGGTTCCCAGAGTCCTACATGTGAACTGAGCAGCTTTCAGAACAGCCATCCAGATACCAAAATTGTGTTCCCTGACAGGTCTGGGAAAGGTTTTGTCTACTGAACTATAGTCAGTTAACCAGGATATGATATCATCTCCATGAACTTGTGCCTTGGCGTAGTAAACACTGGGATCAAAAACATTGATCGTCCCTTCATCATTGAATGGAACATCATTGATTGTCAGCAGTTTTTTATCTAGAAGCAGAAACGAAAACTGAGGGTCAACGTCGATCTTTACTTTGACTTGAATACGATCTAAGACACTGTCAACTGCTTTGCAAACCTGATCTGTACCATCATTCCTTTTACACTTGATGGTTTTTAGAAAGTCTAGGATTTGATTGAGTTCATGACATTCCAGAAAACAGATACTCTGCGGTGTTTCCGATAGGTGAGAATCGATAAGCCCTTGTTTGGAAACTTCAAGTTTTCCAAGATACTTAACTGGAAAATGCATCACCCAGTCTCGCATGCTACCGGAGAGAATTTTAAGCTCGCAAAAAGAGACAAGGAGCAATTTGATTTCCTTGAGTAACTGCTTGCGCTCTTCATCCACAGCTAAAGGCCATTCTTTGGACCATCCATTCTTAGCTTTAGATGCAAACGCTTTAACATCTGTGAGCTGATTCTTGATCATTTCAACGGCAGCTACTGCATCCACTGGTTCCCAATCTCCAACCGATATCTTACGAACCCAGTCTTTTCCTATCCTCTTGACTATATCCTTTTCTGAAGAAGGTTTAAAATCTGCATCGTGTTCTTGTTCAAAGTGATTCCTACATTCTTCAGCACTAGAGCACTTCTTCGAACATTTAGTTCTACACATCCAGAATGTCCATTTTCTGTCATTCTTGGCAGAAGCGAGAACTTGCTCCAAAGCGTCTTGTGCGTTTCTTTTATGTACTCCCCCGACGAAACTTATAAGCTTTGCAATGCTTACCTTCAGAAAGTCCCTTTTGATCTTAACATCCAATCCCACCCAATACGACCTAAACCGCTTAAACTCATCCTTAGACGGCTCTGGACTTTTCTTTGACTCCCGAACTTTAGGCTCAGGTTTTTGTAAAGGAGAAGTCTTGGAAGCAGCGATCTTGAACTCTGCAACTTCGATAAAACGCTCCAGTTCTTCCTTCTTTTGGGTTACTAGCGCTCGGAAACCCATTGGAGTAGCAGAACTCAGTTTCTTTGCTTTAGTTTCAGCTAAAGCCTCTTTTGCTTTCTTCACGCATTTCTTGTAATGTGAAACTGACGCAAGGTTTTTGGCCAACATGCAGAGTGATTGTGCACAAAGTTCTGATACCGTCACATGTTGCGAAAAGCATGCAACACAACCGAGCAAGTATGCGATTTCCATGTCACGGTCCTCTGCGTTTTGA